AAAAAACTGCAGCTTATAGTATTCAAATTATTGACTCAAAAGAATTAATTTAACAAATGATAATACCCATCAGCGATTAGGAAAAAAAACAATGGTGACTTGGCCTTAGTCAAAAAAACGCAAAATAATTATTAGGTAATTGGTTTTAGTGTATAAATATTCACGCACACACATTTAATAATATTTTCTAACCGCTAGTTGATAAAGATGAAGATGATATCCGAAAATGTATCGAATTACAGGACAGTACTTTACATTGCGTTTTAGGCATAATCTCAAGAAGTTAGGTCCAGCAAAAAAAGAAAGGTCAATTGCCCCTTAAACTATTCGTTAAAAATTTAAAAGAAACCAAGAGCCGTCAAAATCATAAATTCAACTTTGTTTTACGGACCTTAGTTGTAGTTTTCGAGAAAATGCATGGAATATACACCTTACTACATTTTATGCCAATTTTAAAGTTTTCTTCCGGCATCATATCTAAAAAGAATACATTATCAGATATTTAGCTGCCATTGTGGTCGAATTCATTAGTAAACGGTATCATTCGTATCATCAACCAAATAATAGTTTAAAGGTTCTGATAAACGATCAAGGACATCCTTCCCCAAATTTTAATATTTAGGTTCGAAAGTATGACAGCTGCTTCTCGCTGATGTTGCAGGCTAGGGTGCAGGCAAAACGCTCAGAAGCTTACTCAGTCATGAAATAATTGTTTATTAAAATATGCAGAAAATGTCGTGCCGTATTTTGTATCCTGTCCGGCTGATGTCAATCCCGGTTTAATTTGATGAGACATAACTATGGTTTATATGAGATAAATGCAAAATGTGGGATTAAAAATGGGTATTAAAACATAATTTACCTAAAATTAACCCTTGAAAGAAAGAAGCATAATGTAAATACAAGTCTGTATAAATTAGCTACAGATTATATATGTATCAACAACGTGCTTTGTTGAAAGACATAAAACAATAAAATATCGGAAATCGAGTAACATTACTGTAGTTCCTGTGAGTAAGCGCGATCCGGGCTCCCAGTTTGCCGTAAATACGCAAGAGAATCTCGTCTAGCACAAAAGGTGAGCAAGTTGTGGGCATCGAGGAGCGGACTAGGCATGATGAATCCGCGACTGAAACCCCAGCAGATGAGTTGGCTTTAGACTGTCTTGGCGAGCCGGACGGGGTGAGCTGGAGAAGGGTAAGCAATTCTGCGTGCAGTTGTAACCAGTGGTTTACTGCTGCCGGTGTGTAGAGACGGCCGGCAAGTTCCTCAAAGAAGTCACTATACATTAAAAGTCCGAAATTCGGAAGAAATGGTTTGTAGATGTCTGGTAAGAGTACATTGTTACAAATGAAAATTTTCTTTTTAAAAAATCGCATGCTGAGTTCTGGAGAATATATCGAACAAGAAAGAAGTCAAATCAACATTAGCCAATCAACTCATTTTAATTTAAATAAGAGTTAATTCAAATAAACTAATAGGTATTTAATGACCTCTGCTATTTTTCGCTACAACAGGAAGTGTAGCTAAATTGTATAAGCCACTACCACCTAAAATTTATTTTACTCAAGTACACTTATTGCGTCTACCAATCATGACACCGAATCTACATTTGTAGCTATCAGACCGTGACTTCGTCAACCCATCAGAAACGAGCCTCCACATCACGCAAGAGTCTAGACAGGAAGAACTCGTGACACCGAAATGTCATAAATGTCCCTCCTTCCTTGCAGCGACCGGCTCTCATCATCGAATGTGACCATAAAGAAAGCCATTGCGCGCCATCAGGGGTTTTCCAGGATCGCGTGTACTATGTATGCGTATGTTGATCCTTCTCTCTTCTGCAATAACGATAGTGAAAATGGGTTTAACCTCACGTAAGAAGGACTTCGTTAACTGGCTTCTTTATCCTAGGTAAAGCCAACAAGTGACCGTTTTGTCTAATCTGCATCTAGGAGATCACATATGCTCTTCAGAAGTAGTGACTTAGCATCTAGATCAAATCGAAATTAAAATTGGACCCAGCATTGTCCCATTCATATATGTCTTTCGAACCTTTGCTATACCACTACAGTAAATTGTCTCTGTTGCCCTGTTCTAGTTCACTCTCTCCTACTCATCCACCTTATTCATCGCACATATAAACAAACTTTATGTAAATTACAAGCAACCAACTTTATATCTGGTCTCTGCATTTTATCACCTTTAATCTTTCCTATTACTCTCAGGATAGGTTCCAACATATTACTGGGCATTTAAAGGCAGGACCGTACCGGTTGTATATGGTAGCAGAGCAGTATAGATGGTCGAATAAGCTTCCCACAATGTGTACTACTGCTACGTTAAACTAGGGACATGAGGGCTAATAAAGAGAGGTACTAGTAGAAAATAATATTGAAAATGAGTAAGATAGTTGGTCTAAAGAGAATATATTGCTAAGACGACTAAAGAGGACTTCGTTACAGCACCATGAGGATGTAGCTATAAGTTAATGTAGAACAATAAGATGAGGCTATTAGGAAAAAAACAAAATGAACCTGAAGGAAGATCGACAAAATCACTTATTAACTGGTAACTTATAAGATATAAAGAGTTACTGGATTTCGATGGACCTCCTTTGTTGTAGACTTTCATTTCGAATGAAAGAGTATGAAAAAGACATTTGAAGGTCGACCACATCAGAGGAGGGCTGATTCCCGCTCTAATGCATCCGGTTAGCTTTAGTACGACTTTTAGGCTTAAGCATTCCAAGATACATCCTCCCATGTCTATGGTGAAAACGGACTGAGCTTCCGTCCATCATATGATGGACATCATCAGAGCTGGAATTCATTCTTATCAAAGTCTCAAGTTAGCACTAGATCAAGAAGACTATCCGGCTAGATTTTACCCCCTATATAGACTCAATTAAGCATAACAAAACTAACAGGCGTAGACAGATATAGAATGGTTTGACGAATTATCCTTCATATTGGTCCTGCTCCTATTCTTCGTGTGTAGGTAGGCGCGTGCATTGTGTTAACGTCTAGACGCGATAGCAGTCCAAGATCAGAGTGATCAAAAAGCCTAATTTCAGGCTCTGGTCATCAAAGCTTAATGACTCAAAAAAACCCTGATTAAGACTGCGTAAGTCCGATAACTTGAGGAACACTTTCTAAGATGCAAAATTAACCAAGATCCGGCCGCTAAAAGATAGTATGCTTCCATCGTCAACCTTATTTTGGTGAGACATGCTAGCCTATTCTACATAGATTAAGACAACATAAAAATACTTGTAAAGGAAGCTGGGTCCAGCGGTTAGAAGTGGCCGAACACCGGCCAGAGACTGAACATGAGATAGAATGATCTCAAATGAATAGGTTTGCTGATTATGGTACGTCTGCTGTTAAAAGAAAGATCAGAGAGAGACTAGGGAAACTTTAAATGTCAGGAACAGTGGTAGGAAGCTGAGTATTTAAGCTTGATTGATAGGTTGAAGGAGAGGATGTTGAATTACATTGAAGAACTTGTCCGCTCAGTGAAGGTTCTAACTTCATTCACATTCGCCAAACATGATAGATCAAGCTCATCAATCAAACCAGAAGTGCAAGATAGTACAGCCCCAGTCACGTCTTTTACTGAGTGGTTAACCCTTAATAAGCTTAAATTAAGAGGTTAGGATAGGTGGTTTCTTAGCTTGACTTACACGCTTACAAGCTTACATCGAATTATCTTAACCATATTTGCTTACGGAGTTACGCAGTCTCATTAGGGGTTTTTTCTTGGATTATTAAGCCTTGATAACCAATCTGATATTAGGCTTTTTAGGACTGGTATCGCGTCTAGAAGTTAACCTACACACATGCATGCTCACATAAACACGAAGAAAAGTAGCAGGACTAATATGAAAGATAATTAGCCAAGCCATTCTATATTTATCAATGCCTATTCGTTTTTATGTTTAATTGAGTATATATAAGGAGTAAGATAGAGCCGGATAGTCTTCTTAACCTGAGACTTTTACAGGAATTAGATCCAGCTCTGAAGATGTCCACCATTTGATGGACGAAAGCTAAGTCCGTTTTTAACCGAAACGAGGGATGAGGTCTCGTAGAATGCGTCAACCTGAACGTCGTATTAAAGCCACGCGGATGCAGTACTTAGGAATCAGCCGTCCTCTTCTGGTAATATTGACCTCCGAGTCATGCACTTTCATACGAAATGAAAATCTTTCTAACGATAGTAACTTATCAGCAAAAAAGAGCAGATATAAAATAATAAACGTAGATATGAATTCTAAGATTTTGTGGCTCCTATTTTTGTCACATTCCCCCTTCGATGTATAGAAGTGTCCTGACCTCGTTTACGCAACTTGGTAGTTTTGTCATGGTGACTTAGTTGGAAGCACCGTGTCCGACGAACACGTCCAACTAAATTTCCATGACATCACGACTAAGTTGTGAAAACGAGGTAAAACAACTTTTATAAAATAAGGAAGCTAAAATGTTTGCAATTTGGCCTCACCTTACTGCAGCCGAAGTGAATTCATCTGGATAGTGTGAACAAGAGTAGAGTATGCGAACAAGATGAACGACCTGTTCCACAGTGACTATATTCCAATCAAGATGGCGAGCCAGAGTCACGGAAAGTAGCAGCCCAGCTATCCAGGGAAATAAGGTTGAATCAATAATTAATACATGATAAATCAATTAGAATGATCTCTATGTTAAGATCCAAAGAAGGAAAGCTAATGTAATAATTTTAGTAATATTCCTATGTTCTGCTATACAACTTTTTTGCAGGAAATAACCAAAAACCAAGAGTGAAACTCAGGTTAATTTTTAATTCACTAAGAAGATAATATGTACGCTATCTATCACAATGATCAAGCATACATATATGTTAAAGTTGAATTGTGATATTCACTTCCAAAGCAAACATGTTCTTCAATCCAACATAAAGCACAGTCGTTTAAGCATAACTTTGATAAAAACTACTAAGCCCAAAGAGGCTAGAGGGGGGTTGTAGGGTCTCACGTGGTATTTACCCTTGCGCGCCAACGCGAGTTCAGCCTGATCAAATAAATGGCCGAGAAGACGTAAAAATGTAGTGATGTCGAATTGAGGTCTCATTCTAAGCAAAGAACCAGAAGTCGATTCCTGAACAGGCCCCTGGTGATGGCAGATGGGCAAGCTAGTAGGATAGGCCCTGATGAAAGACTGATTATGGCGAAAAAATTGTTCAGGTTTTTGCTGATGCCGATAGTGGTTGACAAAAGTCTCCAAAGTCACCACAAAAGTTGCCAAATTTACCAAGTGGTGAACTGATAAAGCATCCAGCTGAACTCGTTGGCAAGCTTGGCTGCGGAGAAACGAAAATTATGGTCATAAATAAATGGTGGTGCGTATGTTTATTTCATCATTTTATTTATTCTTGATCAGATACACTTTTTATTAAAAGCCTTTGTTAAAAAAAACAAAAAATGCCGAAGTGAATATAAGAAAAATTAGACAATAAGAACATTGACCCCTCATTTAAGACCATTCAGATGACAGAAAGACCGTTATATCAAGTATAGCAGTAAATAACAACATAGTATAGAAAAGTGATTTAACAGTGCGAGGCCAATGAAGAATTAATGATTTGGTCTATATTGGTAGTTCCATTTAACGGTAAATGAATTCAATGGAATGTCTCCCTACATATAGAAGAGAAAGTCAGCTTTGCTGACTTTTGAACATATCGTAATAATCACTTTTTTAAAAATTTTTATGGATATGACAGATCCAGAAGAATCGGATAGAATTTCAAGTACAGCATATTGCATGCTGTACTTCTGCTTACTCTTTCCCACTAAAGTGGTTAGTAGCGTTAGATAAGATCGCAGCTATCGCAAAACACTTTTAATACCTCACATTCCGACTCATCCAAAGCATCGAATAATCATATCTTATCAGATGTAATTGACCTACTATTAGAACTATTTGCTTGTAACCTATCGCAGCAAGCTATGTCAAAATCGCAAAAACCATCAAAGTCGATAGTCATCCAATATAGGGTATCACAAAGGAGAAACTCTTAAAGCAACTGGGCTTATCCAGAGTCACGCTCAAAGTTGTGTACCACTATTATCCACTTATATATCAGCTCCTAGATTTTCTAATTGCCTGGTGAAATTCACAACAGTCGTCTCTGTAACGAACTAGAACTTCTACATCCTTTGTAATGTCGTACTTTCACACAACCTGAGCCTGAACAGAATAGCATTCTCACGCACTATCCAACATACTCAACATACATTACTTCTTCCTCCCTCATATCTTTATCGGATATAAAGCAAAGTCGGTTGGACCTTCGGGTAAGGACAGAGCCCAATCAGCGTCTATGTAGCAAAGTTCTGACATAAAGGTTGTGGTTGAAATCGCGTCTACTCAACACCAATTGCTCTACAAACGCAGAGACTTTGCTGCATAATTGGTCTCAAATCACTATCCCATATCCGCGTCGTGACACTTTCCACGTCCAATCATGATGTCTCTAAGACGTGGATACGCAATTATAATCAGCTGTCTCGGTTGTCCTATTCTAGCACCCTCTTTCTTGTATATCCTGCTCATTCAATATCCTTACGGACAAACATACAATCCTCATTTATATTACAACCAAATGGCTTGGTAGACCTGACTATAACAAAAAATCAAGACCATATTCTTCCGCCTCCTATCTTTCCTATTAGTAGCAAAATCCGGAACACCTCAGACTATGAAAAAAGAATGTATAAAATAACGAACAAAGAGTGATTTGGACACTACAATAAGAGCTCATAGAGCAAAGTTAATTGACATTGTAGCGGAATAATAGATCCCAAATGTAATTGATTTAGCTTCTAGTCTATTAAAGAAAAGCTAAAAAAAATATATTGACTTTCATGCCTGCTGAGTCGCATTTCTTTAAGGTAGAAGTCCCTTAAAGATTAACGAACTTTTCATCCAGCTATCCTATTCTGGTAGCGATTTTTCTCAGTTCACGCTAGTTCATTAAGTAATAGGCAAAAACGATTCAAGCATAGCACAAATTTTTTCTGATGTCCAATATTTCCCGATAGAGAATAGATGAGAAGAAATGACTAAAATGAAAATTAGAGAATAACACTTTTATCAACAGATCATAAAAATACTTTTCGAGTGATAGCTGGCCGTCATTA